TGTTAGAAATCAAACAGTAAGAAAACATTATCGGCCCACTCGATATCAGTGTGCTCAGTGCGAGTTTTTTAACGTTATCGATAGCGTAAAAGTTAACTCAAATCGAACAGCGCCCCTACCGGCAAACGTAGGCAAACGTTCCAACTCCATACAAATTTGAGTTAACTTTTACGCTATCGAAAACTTTAAAAAACTCGCACAAGCACACTGAGGGTTGCAAAGGCATATAGACACCACATGACGTGAATGCCTTTATCCGTATTAAGGCGCAAAAGCTTTGCCACACTTTGTCCCATGCCTCAAAGAAACTGAAATAGGCATACCTCATCAGGGCTTAACAGGTTTTTTATTTTTTATTGCTTAGATGGGTGGACGAGCTCACAGCCCACCTGGTGTTAAGTGGTTACTGGAGACCATAGACATCTACAACGTAAATGCGCCACCCACCTTGAGATATAAGTTCTAAGGTCTCAGTATAGTTACAACGGCTGCCCCACCCTTCGAACCGAAACGCATTACTGCTTCACGGCAGAAATAGGCAGGGTGGTGGTACCTACCCATGCGACTCCCAAGAGGTCCTACCACCAGTAACATCTTTGACAAAATTCGATGAAATATTCTCAATATCTTCTTCAATTCATGTAAATTGGGGGCTCTGCTCATGCGCAGTCTTTGCGTTGGTTTGCCGTTTATAATAATGGATTTGGTTGTCAAAAAACCCCCACTTCTTGGTGTCCCACACAGTACGGTTAACGTAATGTATATAGCACGTCTGTATTTACTACAAACAGATATCTAACCAGTAAGCATGATAATAGTTTTGGAGCCACTGCGTTCATCCACAGTGCGTTTCCAGAGATAATTTTTGCCACGCACCATTCGGCTTTGGAATTCCCGAGCGCGCTATGACATGTCCTTCTTCAAACAAGGCTTGTGGATATTAAGTAGTAGGCAGCGGCTTGTCTCTGCCCCTGGTATTGCTGACGTCCATGGGCGACGGTAATCGCTTGCCATCAGGTGGGCCGTATGCTCGTCTGTTACGAAGAGTGTACTAGAAACACTATTCCCCTGCCATAGTTTAGTGACAGAAGGTTGTTTGAAGCTCATTGAAAACCCATTGTTTAGGTCTGCAATTGGCCTTTCATGGTCAACTGCACAACCAGTACAACACTCAGCCCGACCACCGCCAGTCCCACCGAGACCACGCCCGTGGTGACGTCACCCAGCGCAACCACACCCAGTCCTGCCCCAGTCACGACTCCCAGCACCACAACCACAAGGCCGCCTACCACCGAAGGCGCCTTCCTGCCGAACGGCTGCCCTGCCGACTTCCACGTGCACCTCCTCCTGCCCCACGAGACGGACTGCACCAAATTCTACTACTGCGCTCACGGCGAGAAAGTTTTGAGACAATGCGGCCCTAACACGGCATTCAATTTTGAATTACAGGTAAAATACATTACACACTACCTCTTGTAGATGCTCCACCAGAGTTTTTTTTTGCCTACCTTATCCGATGGTTTTGAGAGACCATATCAGCGTCACCGGGCGAGTAGGTGAGCTCGCGGAGCTCAAACCTGACGTTGTTGCTAACAGGAACCCTAGCAAGAGCCTTGCTTTGCAGAATCTACTACCGGATCGGAAACGCGACCCACTGAGAAGATCCGGCGACAAACTCAGTGGGCTGTGTCTGAGGGTTAATTTGCTCGTCGAGCCCTTCGTCGCAAGCGACGGGTTCGACAAACAAACAAACAACAAATACATAAAAAAACAAGCATTCGCATTAATTTTTTTTATTGCTTAGATGGATGGACGAGCTCACAGCCCACCTGGTGTTAAGTGGTTACTGGAGCCCATAGACATCTACAACGTAAATGCGCCACCCACCTCAAGATATAAGTTCTAAGATCTCAGGTATAGTTACAACGGCTACCGCACCCTTCGAACCGAAACGCATTACTGCTTCACGGCGGAAATAGGCGGGGTGGTGGTACCTACCCGTGCGGACTCCCAAGAGGTCCTACCACCAGTGAAAATCATATATATANTGGTGTTAAGTGGTTACTGGAGCCCATAGACATCTACAACGTAAATGCGCCACCCACCTCAAGATATAAGTTCTAAGATCTCAGGTATAGTTACAACGGCTACCGCACCCTTCGAACCGAAACGCATTACTGCTTCACGGCGGAAATAGGCGGGGTGGTGGTACCTACCCGTGCGGACTCCCAAGAGGTCCTACCACCAGTGAAAATCATATATATATAAAAAATCATTCACAATTTCAGGTTTGCGATTGGTATTTCAACGTGAACTGCACGATCCCTGACGCGACCACCGAGGGACCGCCTTCGTCGACTCCAACAACCGTACCAACAACAACAGAAGACGTGCTAACAACATATGACCCTAAAACCACAACACTACAACCTATATTTACAACTGATATTGTTGAAACAACCACCGCTGACGATGGTGGAGAAGACGGTGATGTCACTACCACTACAGAGAGCAGTATTACAACTCATTTACCCACAGTGGTACCGACTACTACTACGGAGCTACCGACTACAGTGACTACAGAAGATACCACTACAAAACTGCCCACTACAGTAACTACAGAAGGTACCACTAACACAGAACTACCGACTACAATAACTACAGAGGGTACCACAACTACAGAACTACCGACTACAATAACTACAGAAGGTATAACTACAACAGAGCTACCTACAACAGTCACTACAGAAGGTACCACAACTACAGAACTACCGACTACGATAACTACAGAGGGTACAACTACAACCGAGTTACCTACAACAGTCACTACAGAAGGTACCACTACCACAGAGCTACCGACTACAATAACTACAGAGGGTACAACTACAACAGAAGAACCGACTACAATAACTACAGAGGGTACAATTACAACAGAGCTACCTACAACAGTCACTACAGAAGGTACCACTACCACAGAAGTACTGACTACAATAACTACAGAAGGTACAACTACAACAGAGCTACCTACAACAGTCACTACAGAAGGTATAACTACAACAGAGTTACCTACAACAGTCACTACAGAAGGTACCACTACCACAGAACTACCGACTACAATAACTACAGAGGGTACAACTACAACAGAAGTACCGACTACAATAACTACAGAAGGTACAACTACAACAGAGCTACCTACAACAGTCACTACAGAAGGGACCACTAACACAGAAGTACCGACTACAATAACTACAGAAGGTACAACTACAACAGAGCTACCTACAACAGTCACTACAGAAGGTACCACTACCACAGAGCTACCCACTACAATAACTACAGAGGGTACAACTACAACAGAGCTACCTACAACAGTCACTACAGAAGGTACCACTACCACAGAGCTACCTACTACAATAACTACAGAGGGTACAACTACAACAGAGCTACCTACAACAGTCACTACAGAAGGTACCACTACCACAGAACTACCGACTACAATAACTACAGAGGGTACCACCACAACAGAAGTACCGACTACAATAACTACAGAGGGTACAACTACAACAGAGCTACCTACAACAGTCACTACAGAAGGTACCACTACCACAGAAGTACCGACTACAATAACTACAGAAGGTACAACTACAACAGAGCTACCTACAACAGTCACTACAGAAGGTACCACTACCACAGAGCTACCCACTACAATAACTACAGAGGGTACAACTACAACAGAGCTACCTACAACAGTCACTACAGAAGGTACCACTACCACAGAGCTACCTACTACAATAACTACAGAGGGTACAACTACAACAGAGCTACCTACAACAGTCACTACAGAAGGTACCACTACCACAGAATTACCGACTACAATAACTACAGAGGGTACCATCACAGAACTGCCCACTTCGGTCACCACGGAGGGTATTACTACAACAGAGTTACCTACAACAGTCACTACAGAAGGTACCACTACCACAGAACTACCTACTACAATAACTACAGAGGGTACAACTGCTACAGAGTTACCGACAACAGTCACTACAGAAGGTACCATAACTACAGAGCTACCTACAACAGTCACTACAGAAGGTACCACTACCACAGAGTTACCTACTACAGTAACCACAGAAGGTATCACAACTACAGAACTACCTACAATAGTCACTACAGAAGGTACCACTACCACAGAGCTACCTACTACAGTAACTACAGAAGGTACCACAACTACAGAAGTACCGACTACAATAACTACAGAGGGTACAACTACAACAGAGCTACCTACAACAGTCACTACAGAAGGTACCACTACCACAGAATTACCGACTACAATAACTACAGAGGGTATCACCACAGAGCTGCCCACTTCGGTCACCACGGAGGGCATTACTACAACAGAGTTACCTACAACAGTCACTACAGAAGGTACCACTACCACAGAACTACCGACTACAATAACTACAGAGGGTACAACTGCTACAGAGTTACCGACAACAGTCACTACAGAAGGTACCATAACTACAGAGCTACCTACAACAGTCACTACAGAAGGTACCACTACCACAGAGTTACCTACTACAGTAACCACAGAAGGTATCACAACTACAGAACTACCTACAATAGTCACTACAGAAGGTACCACTACCACAGAGCTACCTACTACAGTAACTACAGAAGGTACCACAACTACAGAAGTACCGACTACAATAACTTCAGAGGGTACAACTACAACAGAGCTACCTACAACAGTCACTACAGACGGTACAACTACCACCCTTGTTACTGATCTACCAACGACAGCTACCACTGAAGATCTTACCACGGTAGTTACAGAAGATACCACAACAACAACGCTCGTCACATCTACCCCAGAAGGGACGTCCACTACAGAGGCGGAGACGACCACGCCCTCGATTTGTCCTCCTGGATTTTTCGGGAACATTCCGCATCCGTATCTCTGTAATTCATTTTTCATGTGTCTCGATGGCTTGGCGATACAAATGTTCTGCGCTGTTGGATTTGAATTCGACCCAGCTACTGAGGTAAATTTATCATAAAATATATTGTAATTCCTCTATTGGTCAGAATGAAGTTAATAATGTTTTAGTAACTAGACTTTTGCAATCTCGCCATTATCCGAGGTGCAGTGTCTATAAGTAGAATGAACAAGAGCATCGAATTGGAATTTATGATGCTATTAAAGCCAGATAGGAAAGTCTTAAGAACAGGAAAAAATAATTAGAAACTTAATAACGACCTTCAAATTTTGAGTGCCCAAGCAATGTTCAACTATTTGACTTTGGGATTGATTCTCCTAAAGTATTTTTTTATGGTCAGCACGCTAATAGACTAACTGCAGACAATCAACAATATTTTTATTTTTAAAAATAATCAGCTTTCATAAGCAGCTAAGTAAAATGTAACCAGGAAACATAGACACAACGGTCTGCTCACAACACCATGCAAATCCTTGAGTCCACATACCCCGCGCGCCCCTTTTGCGCGGGGACCTCGTAGGAGGTTCGGCCCTCTAACCGAAAAAAAAAAAAAGCAAACATAGACAGCCACATTCAGACACATTTTATTACTTTCTGCTTAAGTCTTGGTAATAACTCAGAGGAGAAGTTTAACAGCGATAATTGTTTCCAGACTTGCGTCATCATCGCCGAGGGAGGCTGCACGTTGGGGACAAGACCTCCGACAGCTTCTACTCCTGAATATACAACTGTAGACTTTTCTACAACTGGAACGCCTTTTACAGTCACAGAAGAATCAACATATCTTACTACAGATGGGATCAGTACAGTGACTAATGAATTACCAAGTACCTTATCTACTACAGAAGAAGGGACGTCTACAGTAACGACATCAGAGTATACTACTACAGAATTACCTACTACTAGTACCCCTGTTACAGTAACGGACGAATCCACATATTCTACGACTGATTGGCCTACAACAATAACTACAGAAAGTTCAAGTACTACTGAAGTTATCACAGATGTACCTACTTCAATTACAACTGAAGAGTCTTCTACAGCGTCAACTGTAATTACATCTACTACTGACTTGCCTACTACAGTAACCTCAGAAGGTACCTCTTCTATTCCAACTACCATCACTACGGAGGATACACCAACAGCGACCACCGAAAGTACTTTTACTACTGAGTTGCTAACAGAGAGTACAACAACCGGTACTGCAGAGGGTACCAGTACGACGGAATTACCTTCCACACCAACAACTCTCGTCCCCTCAACCCCAGAGATTACTTCTACTCCAGAAGCGGAGACGACTACGCCCTCTATTTGTCCTCCTGGATTCTCTGGGAACCTTCCGCATCCGTATCTCTGTAATTCGTACTTTATGTGTATCAATGGCGTCGCGATACAAGTCTTCTGTGCTGAAGGATTTGAGTTTGATCCAATCACTGAGGTAATTAGCATCTTCTGATAATTTTTTTTATGGTTATTACAAATCCTATTATCCGAGGGTTATTTTAGGAAAACTGTGGGAGACTGAATTCTTCTAAAATTTTCAGACTTTTTGTATGATAAAAAATTGACGTAAAGCTTCCTAATTTGTCTAGCGGTATCGTAATAGTAAACATGAAAACTATAAGAAAAACAAAGCTCTTTTTTTTTATTGCTTAGATGGGTAGACGAGCTCACAGCCCACCTGGTGTTAAGTGGTTACTGGAGCCCATAGACATCTACAACGTAGATGCGCCGCCCACCTTGAGATATAAGTTCTAAAGTCTCAGTATAGTTACAACGGCTGCCCCACCCTTCAAACCGAAACGCATTACTGCTTCACGGCAGAAATAGGCAGGGCGGTGGTACCTACCCGCGCGGACTCACAAGTGGTCCTACCATCAGTAATTACACAAATTATAATTTTGCGGGTTTGATTTTTATCACACGATGTTATTCCTTCACCGTGGAAGTCACTCGTGAACATTTGTTGAGTACGTATTTCATTAGAAAAATTGGTACCCGCCTGCGGGATTCGAACACCGTTGCATCGCTTCAACACGAATGCACCGGACGTCTTATCCTTTAGGCCACGACGACTTCAAAACTCAATTAATTATCACTTTTCCAGGCTTGCGTGATTATAGCTGAAGGAGGTTGCACATTAGGAACAAGACCTCCAACAGATACTACTCCTGGGTATACAACTACAGAATCATCTACCACTACATCACCAACAGCCACAGACGAATCTACTTATATTACCACTGACGAGCTAACCACAGCTACTGAAGGCACTTCTACTACTGAGCTGCCAACTTCAGTAACAGCAGAGAGTACTTCTACTATACAGCCTACTACAATAACTACAGAAGGCACTCCTACTAGTGACTCACCTACGACACTAACTACAGTTGATACGACAGTATCAACAGATGGCACCACAACCACTGAAGTAACCACTGATATACCCACTTCAGTTACTACTGAAGATTCTACGACGTTAACTACAGAAGGTACAAGTACGACTGAGTTATCTTCCACACCAACAACCCTTGCCCCATCAACTCCAGAAGTGACATCTACTACAGAAGCGGAGACGACTACGCCTTCGATTTGTCCTCCTGGTTTCTTCGGGAACATTCCGCATCCGTATCTCTGTAATTCATACTTCATGTGCGTCAACGGAATAGCTATACAACTCTTCTGCGGCGAAGGATATGAATTTGATCCGGTCAATGAGGTAAATGAACTAATTTTTAAATGAGAAATAAACTAAATTTTGCGTTTGCGTGCTTAACCGGTGCTCATACTGAGAAGTTACTCTTATAGTAAATATTGTATATAAAAAAAAACTAGAGTCATGGATTAGTGAATAGTCTTTACATGTCTAACATAATTTGTTACTGTTTCTTAACTACCCTAATATCTTGAGTTTATGTTTACTAATAACTCAAGTCCCCAATAGAAAAGGTTTTTGAATAGAAGTTGTTATTTTAGATTTGCGTCGTCATAGCTGAAGGAGGCTGCACGTTGGGAACAAGGCCGCCAACACATACTACCCCTGAGTATACTACTACAGACCATCCTAACACTGTGCTGCCTACTACAGTTACAGACGGATCTACGTATTTGACTACTGAGAGTTCTACTACAGTAACTACAGATTCTTCTACTGAGGATGCAGGTACTACTGAAGCTACTACTGAACTGCCTACCTCGGTTACTACAGAAAGTTCTACTACACTAGCTACTGAAGGTACTAGTAAAACTGAACTTCCCACTGCCACCACCACTGAAGAGTCTACCACAGTAACTACCGAGGGAACTTTCACTCCTGAAATATCTTCCACACCAACAACCCTTGTCCCCTCAACTCCCGAGATCACATCTACTACAGAAGCGGAGACGACCACGCCCTCTATTTGTCCTCCTGGATTCTTCGGGAACATTCCGCATCCATATCTCTGTAATTCATACTTCATGTGCGTCAACGGAATAGCTATACAACTCTTCTGCGGCGAAGGATATGAATTTGATCCGGCCAATGAGGTAAATATTAATGAACTAATTTTTTAATGAGAAATAAACTAAATTTTGCATTTGCGTGCTTGACCGGTATTCATATTGAGAAGTTACTCTTATAGTAAATATTTTATATAAAAAGAACTATAGTCATGGATTAGTGAATAGACATGTCTAACATAATTTGGTACTGTTTCTTAACTACCCTAATATATTGGGTTTATGTTTACTAATAACTTAAATCCTCAAGAACAAAGTTTTTTAAATAGCAGTTGTTATTTTAGATTTGCGTCATCATAGCTGAAGGAGGATGCACGTTGGGAACGAGGCCGCCAACACATACTACCCCTGAGTATACTACTACAGACCACTCTACCACTGTGCTGCCTACTACAGTTACAGACGGATCTACATATCTGACTACTGACAGTTCTACGACAGTAACTACAGATTCTTCTACTGAGGATGCAAGTACTACTGAAGCTACTACTGAACTGCCTACCTCGGTCACTACGGAAAGTTCTACTACACTAGCTACTGAAGATACTAGTACAACTGAACTTCCCACTGCCAGCACCACTGAAGACTCTACCGCAGCAACTACTGCCGGTTCTACTATAGTAACTACCGAGGGAACCTTCACTACTGAAATATCTTCCACACCAACAACCCTCGTCCCCTCAACTCCAGAGATCACATCTACTACAGAAGTGGAGACGACCACGCCCTCTATTTGTCCTCCTGGATTCTTCGGGAACCTTCCGCATCCGACTCTCTGTAATTCGTACTTTATGTGTCTTAATGGCGTCGCGATACAAGTCTTCTGCGCCGAAGGATACGAGTTCGATCCTGCTACCGAGGTAATTTCTATGTTTTTCTAATTTCTTTGATGTTTTCGATATGAAGCCAAAAACAAACCTTTACATCCAGACTAAAGCTTTTCTGTGACTTATTTTTTGATATTTGAATGGGTCCACCAGCTTCTGGCCCTTCTGATGCTGGATGGGTACTAGATCTCATAGAGTACCGCAACTCACCTCAAGACATGAGGTCGGAGTCTCAGTTACAGCTCTCGCTGTCCCGATCTTCAAATCGAAAGGCTGCTTCAAGACCGAAACATTACCGTCAATAGCAACGACCATACAGCAAACCTAATGGTCACTAGTTCCCATAACTAATAGCAATGCCGAAGATAGAGTCAGGTCACTACTTATGGTACAGCTAAGGACTTTATTCAAACCTCAAAATCACGTTTGAAGAAAGTCACGCTCCTGTTGTTTGGGAAATTAGTAGAAAGCCACCACAATACAGCTATAAGATCTGAATAACATAAAGGCATTTTGAGTGCAGGCGAACTAGTTAGTAGTTGTATACTATACTCGGCCGGCTGGTGACTGTATAAACTTTAATATTTATGCCTGCTGGTCAAAAAATATCTGAAGACAAAAATTAAGGTTCAAGTACTACTGCTGGCGGTAGTAAACCAATTTAATTCGTGCAAACGACAGCAATTAGTAATTTAGAATAAAGATCGAAACAATGTGTCGCTTTTATAGACTTGCGTCATCATAGCTGAGGGAGGATGCACGTTAGGAACCAGGCCGCCAACACATACTACTCCAGAGTATACAACTATCGACTCATCTACTACTGCAGCGTCTTCCACAGTCACAGATGAAACCACATATCTTACTACAGGCAGAATTACCACAACATCTCCTGAAAGTCCTACGACTACTGATCTGCCAACTTCAGTAACAATAGAAGAAACAACTACATTAACTACTTCTGAGGCCACAACAACGGAATTGCCTACTACTACGCCTCCTGTAACAGTCACAGATGAATCTACGTATCCCACTACAGACGCCACAGACGCTTCTTCTACTACTGAGTTGCCTACTACAATAACTACTGAGGGAACCATTACCACTGAAGTATCTTCCACGTTAACAACATTCCCCTCAACTCCAGAGATCACATCTACTACAGTAGTGGAGACGACTACGCCCTCGATTTGTCCTCCTGGATTCTTCGGGAACATTCCGCATCCGTATCTCTGTAATTCATACTTCATGTGCGTCAATGGAATAGCTATACAACTCTTCTGCGGCGAAGGATATGAATTTGATCCGGTCAATGAGGTAAATGAACTAACTATTAAATGAGAAATAAACTAAATTTTGCATTTGCGTGCTTGACCGGTGTTCATATTGAGAAGTTACTCTTATAGTAAATATTGTATATAGAGTGAACTATAGTCATGGATTAGTGAATGGTACTTACATGTCTAACATAATTTTGGTACTGTTTCTTAAATACCCTAATATCTTGGGTTTATGTTTACTAATAACTTAAATCCTCAGGAACAAAGTTTTCTAAATAGCAGTTGTTATTTTAGATTTGCGTCGTCATAGCTGAAGGAGGATGCACGTTGGGAACGAGGCCGCCAACACATACTACCCCTGAGTATACTACTACAGATCATTCTACCACAGTGCTGCCTACTACAGTTACAGGCGGATCTACGTATTTGACTACTGACAGTTCTACTACAGTAACTACAGATTCTTCTACTGAGGATGCAGGTACTACTGAAGCTACTACTGAACTGCCTACCTCGGTCACTACGGAAAGTTCTACTACACTAGCTACTGAAGGTACCAGTACAACCGATCTTCCCACTGCTAGCACCACTGAAGACTCTACCATACTAACTACCGAAGGAACCTTCACTACTGAAATATCTTCCACACCAACAACCCTCGTCCCCTCAACTCCAGAGATTACATCTACTACAGAAGTGGAGACGACCACGCCCTCTATTTGTCCTCCTGGATTCTTCGGGAACCTTCCGCATCCGACTCTTTGTAATTCGTACTTTATGTGCATCAATGGCGTCGCGATACAAGTCTTCTGCGCTGAAGGATACGAGTTCGATCCTGCTACCGAGGTAATTTCTTTATTCTTCTAATTTGTTTAACGTTTTCAATATGAAGGCAATTTCAGTCCAATTAAAAACAAGCTTTCACATCCAGACTCAAGCTTTTCTGTGCCTTCTTTTTTATTTTTTATGGGTCCACCAACCTCTGGCTCATCTGGTGCTGAATGGTTACTAGATCTCATAGGACAATATGCGTCCCGTCATTCACCTCAAGACATGAGGTCGGAGTCTCAGTTATAGCGATTGCTGTCCCAATCTTGAAATCGAAAGGCATAACTGCTTCAAGACCGAAACATTGCTGTCAATAGCAAATTATCTTGCGGCACACCTAACGGTCAGTAGTGCCCATAACTAATAGCAATATTGAAGACAGAGTTAGATTATGGTACTGCTAAGGAGTTTATTCAAATATCAAAATCGCGTTTGAAGAATGCCATGTTCCAGTTGTTTGGGAAATTAGTGGAGACCCACTATACCACAGCTATAAGATCTGAATAATATAAAGGCATTGTGAGCGTAGGCGAACTTGTTAGTAGTTGTACTTATACTATACTCGGCCGGTTTGAGTTTCGACTGTATAAACTTTAATATTTATGTCTGCTGGTCAAAAAATGGCGGCAGGTGACGGGCACCACGTGTGACTCACACATTTCTCTTCCCCTAAAAGGGAAGATATATAAGACCTTAATAAGACCTGCCATCTTGTAGGGGTCAGCCTGTTGGACCACTAAAGTGGTGAATGAAAGGCGATTGCATGCAGTGGAGATGCGAATGTTGCGATGGATGTGAGGAGCAACGAGAATGGATAGAATATGGAATTAATATGTTAGAGGAAGTCTGAAAATGGCATCTGTGATAGAGAATTTGAGAAGTGCGCGTTCGGGTTGGTATGTGCTGAGATGAAATGGCAATGAGGTTGGTAAGAGTTTTAACTATAAATGTGAATATAGAAGGCTTTAGAGGAAGAGGTAGACCTAAAAAGAAATGAATGGATTGCGTGAAAGACGATATGTGTAAGTGAGGAGTGAGCGAAGAAATCGTATATGATAGAGGAGTATGGAAGGAGAAAACATATTGCGCCGACCCCAAGTGACTGGGAGAAGGAAATGAGAATAATGATGATAGTCAAAAACTATTTCAAGGCAAAATTAAGATTCACGTTCTGTTGGCGGTAATAAACCCGTTTCATTCGTTCGAACGACAGAAATCAGTAACTAATAATAAAGATCGAAACAATGTATCGCTTTTATAGACTTGCGTCATCATAGCTGAAGGAGGATGCACGTTGGGAACCAGGCCGCCAACACATACTACTCCAGAGTATACAACTATCGACTCAACTACTACTGCAGCGCCTTCCACAGTCACAGATGAAACCACATATCTTACTACAGACGGAATTACCACAACATCTCCTGAAAGTCCTACGACTACTGATCTGCCAACTTCAGTAACAACAGAAGAAACAATTACGTTAACTACTTCTGAGGACACAACAACGGAATTGCCTACTACTGCGCCTCCTGTAACAGTCACAGATGAATCTACGTATTCTACTACAGATGCCATAGACGCTTCTTCTACTACTGAGTTGCCTACTACAGTAACTACTGAGGGAACCATTACCACTGAAGTATCTTCCACGTTAACAACATTCCCCTCAACTCCAGAGATCACATCTACTACAGTAGTGGAGACGACTACACCCTCTATTTGTCCTCCTGGATTCTTCGGGAACATTCCGCACCCGTACCTCTGTAATTCATACTTCATGTGCGTCAATGGAATAGCTATACAACTCTTCTGCGGCGAAGGATATGAATTTGATCCGGCCAATGAGGTAAATATTAATCAACTAATTTTTAAATGAGAAATAAACTAAATTTTGCATTTGCGTGCTTGACCGGTGTTCATATTGAGAAGTTACTCTTATAGTAAATATTGTATATAGAGTGAACTATAGTAATGGATTAGTGAATGGTACTAACATGTCTAACATAATTTTGGTACTGTTTCTTAAATACCCTATTATCTTGGGTTTATGTTTACTAATAACTCAAGTCCCCCATAGAAAAGGTTTTTGAATAGAAGTTGTTATTTTAGATTTGCGTCGTCATAGCTGAAGGAGGCTGCACGTTAGGGACAAAACCTCCAACACATACTACCCCTGAGAATACTACTACAGACTACTCTACTACGGCGCTGCCTACTACAGTTACAGATGGATCTACATATCTGACTACTGACAGTTCTACGACAGTAACTACAAATTCTTCTACTGAGGATGCAAGTACTACTGAAGCTACTACTGAACTGCCTACCTCGGTCACTACGGAAAGTTCTACTACACTAGCTACTGAAGGTACCAGTACAACCGATCTTACCACTGCCAGCACCACTGAAGACTCTACCACACTAACTACTGAGGGAACTTTCACTACTGAAATATCTTCCACACCAACAACCCTCGTCCCCTCAACTCCAGAGATCACATCTACTACAGAAGCGGAGACGACCACGCCCTCTATTTGTCCTCCTGGATTCTTCGGGAACCTTCCGCATCCGACTCTCTGTAATTCGTACTTTATGTGCATCAATGGCGTCGCGATACAAGTCTTCTGTGCTGAAGGATACGAGTTCGATCCTGCTACCGAGGTAATTTCTTTATTCTTCTAATTTGTTTAACGTTTTCAATATGAAAGCAATTTCAGTCCAATTAAAAACAAGCTTTCACATCCAGACTCAAGCTTTTCTGTGCCTTCTTTTTTTATTTTTTATGGGTCCACCAACCTCTGGCCCATCTGGTGCTGAATGGTTACTAGATCTCATAGGACAATATGCGTCCCGTCATTCACCTCAAGACATGAGGTCGGAGTCTCAGTTATAGCGATTGCTGTCCCAATCTTGAAATCGAAAGGCATAACTGCTTCAAGACCGAAGCATTGCCGTCAATAGCAGATTATCTTACGGCACACCTAACGGTCAGTAGTTCCCATAACTAATAGCAATATTGAAGACAGAGTTAGATTATGGTACTGCTAAGGTGTTTATTCAAAAATCAAAATCACGTTTGAAGAATGCCATGTTCCAGTTGTTTGGGAAATTAGTGGAGACCCACTATACCACAGCTATAAGATCTGAATAATATAAAGGCATTGTGAGCGTAGGCGAACTGGTTAGTAGTTGTATACTATACTCGGCCGGTTTGGGTTGCGACTGTATAAACTTTAATATTTATGTCTGCTGGTCAAAAAATGGCGGCAGGTGACGGGCACCACGTGTGACTCAAACATTTCTCTTCCCCTAAAAGGGAAGATATATCAGACCTTAATAAGACCTGCCATCTTGTAGGAGTCAGCCTGTTGGACCACTAAAGTGGTGGATGAAAGGCGATTGCATGCAGTGGAGATGCGAATGTTGCGATGGATGTGAGGAGTAACGAGAATGGATAGAATATGGAATTAATATGTTAGAGGAAGTCTGAAAATGGCATCTGTGATAGAGAATTTGAGATGTGCGCGTTCGGGTTGGTATGAGCTGAGATGAAATGGCAATGAGGTTGGTAAGAGTTTTAACTATGAATGTGAATATAGAAGGCTTTAGAGGAAGAGGTAGACCTAAAAAGAAATGTATGGATTGCGTGAAAGACGATATGTGTAAGTGAGGAGTGAGCGAAGAAACCGTATATGATAGAGGAGTATGGAAGGAGAAAACATATTGCGCCGACCCCAAGTGACTGGGAGAAGGAAAGGAGAATAATGATGATAGTCAAAAACTATTTCAAGGCAAAATTAAGATTCACGTTCTGTTGGCGGTAATAAATCCGTTTCATTCGTTCGAACGACAGAAATCAGTAACTAATAATAAAGATCGAAACAATGTATCGCTTTTATAGACTTGCGTCATCATAGCTGAAGGAGGATGCACGTTGGGAACCAGGCCGCCAACACATACTACTCCAGAGTATACAACTATCGACTCATCTACTACTGCAGCGCCTTCCACAGTCACAGATGAAACCACATATCTTACTACAGACGGAATCACCACAACATCTCCTGAAAGTCCTACGACTACTGATCTGCCAACCTCAGTAACAACAGAAGAAACAACTACATTAACTACTTCTGAGGACACAACAACGGAATTGCCTACTACTGCGCCTCCTGTAACAGTCACAGATGAATCTACGTATCCTACTACAGACGCCACAGACGCTTCTTCTACTACTGAGTTGCCTACTACAATAACTACTGAAGGAACCATTACCACTGAAGTATCTTCCACGTTAACAACAGTACCCTCAACTCCAGAGATCACATCTACTACAGTAGCGGAGACGACTACGCCCTCGATTTGTCCTCCTGGATTCTTCGGGAACATTCCGCATCCGTATCTCTGTAATTCATACTTCATGTGCGTCAACGGAATAGCTATACAACTCTTCTGCGGCGAAGGATATGAATTTGATCCGGCCAATGAGGTAAATATTAATCAACTAATTTTTAAATGAGAAATAAACAAAATTTTGCATTTGCGTGCTTGACCGGTGTTCATATTGAGAAGTAACTCTTATAGTAAATATTGTATTTAAAAAGAACAATAGTCATGGATTAGTGAATGGTACTAACATGTCTAACATAATTTTGGTACTGTTTCTTAAATACCCTATTATCTTGGGTTTATGTTTACTAATAACTCAAGTCCCCAATAGAAAAGGTTTTTGAATAGAAGTTGTTATTTTAGATTTGCGTCGTCATAGCTGAAGGAGGCTGCACGATAGGGACAAGACCTCCAACACATACTACCCCTGAGTATACTACTACAGACCACTCTACCACTGCGCTGCCTACTACAGTTACAGATGGATCTACATATCTGACTACTGACAGTTCTACGACAGTAACTACAGATTCTTCTACTGAGGATGCAAGTACTACTGAAGCTACTACTGAACTGCCTACCTCGGTCACTACGGAAAGTTCTACTACACTAGTTACTGAAGGTACTAGTACAACTGAACTACCCACAGTAACTACCGAGGGAACTTTCACTACTGAAATATCTTCCACACCAACAACCCTCGTCCCCTCAACTCCAGAGATCACATCTACTACAGAAGCGGAGACGACTACACCCTCGATTTGTCCTCCTGGATTCGTCGGGAACCTTCCGCATCCGACTCTCTGTAATTCGTACTTTATGTGTATCAATGGCGTCGCGATACAAGTCTTCTGCGCTGAAGGATACGAGTTCGATCCTGCTACCGAGGTAATTTCTATATTCTTCTAATTTCTTTCATGTTTTTGACTTGAAGCCAATTTCAGTTCATTTAAAAACAAACCTTCACATACAGACTAAAGCTTTTCTGTGCCACCTTTTTTATATTTTTATGGGCTTACCAGCTTCTCGCCTATCTGATGCTGAATGGCTACTAGATCTTATAGAGTAATATGAGTACCGCCACTCACCTCAAAACATGAGATTGAAGTCTCCGTTATAACGATTGCTGTCCCAATCTTCAAATCGAAAGGCATAACTGCTTCACGGCAGAAACATTGCCGTTAATAGCAGTCGACACCTAATCGTCAGTAGTTCCATAACTAACAGCAACACCAAAGACAGACTTAAGTCGCTACTTATGGTATAGCTACGGAGTTTATTCAAACTTCGAAATCACGTTTGAATAATGCCATGTTCTTGTTGGTTGGGAAATTAGTGGAGAGCCACCATATCACAGCTATAAGATCTGAATAACATAAAGGCATTGTCAGCGATGCCGAAATAGTTAGTAGTGGTGTACTATACTCGGCCGGTTTGAGATACGACTGTATAAACTTTAACATGTACGTCTGCTGGTCAAAAAATATCTCAAGACATAATTAAGGTTCACGTACTACTGTTGGCGGTAGTAAATCAATTTCATTCGTGCAAACGACAGAAATCAGTAATTTAGAATAAAGATCGAAACAATGTGTCGCTTTTATAGACTTGCGTCATCATAGCTGAAGGAGGATGCACGTTGGGAACCAGGCCGCCAACACATACTACTCCAGAGTATACAACTATAGACTCATCTACTACTGCAGCGCCTTCCACAGTCACAGATGAAACCACATATCTTACTACAGACGGAATTACCACATCTCCTCAAAGTCCTACAACTACTGATCTGCCAACTTCAGTAACAACAGAAGGAACAACCACATTAACTACTTCTGAGGATACAACATCGGAATTGCCTACTACTGCGCCTCCTGTAACAGTCACAGATGAATCTACGTATCCTACTACAGATGCCACAGACGATTCTACTACTACTGAGTTGCCTACTACAGTAACTGCTGAGGGAACCATTACCACTGAAGTATCTTCCACGTTAACAACAGTCCCCTCAACTCCAGAGATCACATCTACTACAGAAGCGGAGACGACTACACCCTCTATTTGTCCTCCTGGGTTCGTCGGGAACCTTCCGCATCCGACTCTCTGTAATTCGTACTTTATGTGCATCAGTGGCGTCGCGATACAAGTCTTCTGCGCTGAAGGATACGAGTTCGATCCTGCTACCGAGGTAATTTCTTTATTCTTCTAATTTCTTTGATGTTTTCGACATGAAGCCAATTTCAGTTCATTTAAAAACAAACCTTCATATCCAGACTAAAGCTTTTCTGTGCCTTCTTTTTTTATATTTTATGGGTTTACCAGCTTGTCGCCTATCTGATGCTGAATGGCTACTAGATCTTATAGAACAATATGAGTTCCGCCACTCACCTCAAGACATGAGGTTGAAGTCTCAGTTATAACGATTGCTGTCCCAATCTTCAAATTGAAAGGCATAACCGCTTCAAGGTACAAACATTGCTGTCAATAGCAGACTACCTAGCGGCATACCTAACGGTCAGTAGTTCCCATAACTAATAACAATATCGAAGAAAGAGTTAGATTATGGTACTGCTGCTTATGGTACTGCTAACGAGCTTATCCAAAAATCAAAATCACCTTTGAAGAATACCATGTTCCAGTTGTTTGGGCAATTAGTGGAGAGCCGCCATACTACAGCTATAAGATCTGAATAACGTACAGGCATTGTGAGCGCAGGCGAATTAGTTAGTAGTGGTTTACTATACTCGGCCGGTTTGAGTTACGACTGATAAACTTTATTATTTATGTCTGCTGGTCAAAACATATCTCTATCTAAAACCAACGTTCACGTACTTCTGTTGGCGGTAGTAGATCCGTTTTATTCGTGCAAACAACAGAAATTAGTAATTTAATATAAAAATCGAAACAATGTGTCGCTTTTATAGACTTGCATCATCATAGCTGAAGGAGGATGCACGTTGGGAACCAGGCCGCCAACACATACTACTCCAGAGTATACAACTATAGACTCATCTACTACTGCAGCCACTACCACAGTCACAGATGAATCCACACATCTCACCACGGATGACTCTACAACAGTAACTGCTGAAGTCACTACAGCAGTACCAAGTACGATTTCGACTGACGGGTCTACTATAGTACCTACCGAGGGGATTAGTACTACTGATGAGTCTACCGTAGCAACTACTGAGGGCATTAGTACTACTGACCTAACTACGGCAATGCCAACTACTGAAGGAACTGTCACCGCTGAAGTGTCTTCCACACCAACAACCCTTGTTCCCTCAACTCCAGAGATCACATCTACTACAGAAGCGGAGACGACTACACCCTCTATTTGTCCTCCTGGATTCTTCGGGAACCTTCCGCATCCGTATCTCTGTAATTCGTACTTTATGTGTCTCAATGGCGTGGCTATACAAGTCTTCTGCGCTGAAGGATTTGAGTTCGACCCTGCTAGTGAGGTAATTTTCAGTAATTCTAAGTATTATAAAGTGGATTTATGTCGTAATAACTACCAGCCGTAGGTATATTTGCTTGTTATGTAAATTAAAAAATCTTACTGTCATCATTGGTTCACATATTCACAATAGTTCCCTTCAACTAGATTTTTAACATTGGAGTTGGGTTGGAAAGTATGTGAAGGATACTATTTTTAGGCACGATTAATGGAGAAGCAGTAGCTTGCCTAAATCTAGACAAAGTACCTGTTTCTACTGTTTCATATTCGGATTGTCTATTGTCATACGAACGTAACGCCTTCTCATATTCTTCAATGCAAAATTATTTCCAGGCTTGCGTGATTATAGCTGAAGGAGGTTGCACATTAGGAACAAGACCTCCAACAGATACTACTCCTGGGTATACAGCTACAGACTCATCTACCACTGCATCACCAACAGCCACAGATGAATCTACTCACATTACTACTGATGGTCTAACTACAGTAACTACTGAAGGAATGAGTACTACTGAAATCAATACCGACCAATCTACTACTATAACGACAGCGGAATCTACCGCTGCAACTACAGGTGACACCACTGAATATTCTACGACACTAGCTACCGAGGACACAAGTACTACTGAACAGCCCACCTTTGTCACTACTGACGATCCTAATACAGTGACTACTGAAGCTAGTACTGACGCGCGCACTTCAGTCACTAGTGACTCTACAACCACTATAACGACTGAAGATATAAGTACTACTCAAATACCAACTTCAATAACAACTGAAGATTATACTGAAGTCACTACGGAAAGTTTGAGTACAACTGACTTAGTCACTTCGACTACTGCAGAAGATCCGACTACATTAACTACAGAGGGTACGAGTACCACTGAAGTATCTTCCACAATAACAACTATACTTCCATCAACCCCAGAAGTGACATCTACTACAGAAGCGGAGACGACCACGCCCTCTATTTGTCCTCCTGGATTCTTCGGGAACATTCCGCATCCGACTCTCTGTAATTCATACTTCATGTGCGTCAACGGAATAGCTATACAACTCTTCTGCGGCGAAGGATATGAATTTGATCCGGCCAATGAGGTAAATATAAATGAACTAGTTTTCAAATGTGACAACAAAAATATATCTTTGACCTTAACCATTTCATAAGCTTTGTATTTTTAAATGTAATTGTCTGATGTATTCTTGGTTGAGCTTAAATTTTTATAACTAACTTATATCGATTGCTTAAATTGGTTCTAACATTTTGTATTTAGTGTGATTAGGGACTATAAATGTTAATTACTGATTTACCAAAGTAAACTGATCAAAGGAAACAATTTGGAAAATATTAGCGGATTATATTGCATTTCTAAGAGGTAATATTATCAACTGGTAGGAAAAAGTTAAATTTAGTGCTTTCTTTTTTTATGCTTAGATGGGTGGACGAGCTCACAGCCCACCTGGTGCTTAGTAGTTACTGGAGCCCATAGACATCTACAACGTAAATGTGCCACCCACCTTGAGATATAAGTTCTAAGGTCTCAAGTATAGTTACAACGGCTGCCTCACCCTTCAAACCGAAACGCATTACTGCTTCACGGCAGAAATAGGCGGGGTTGTGGTACCTACCCGCGCGCACTCACAGGTGGTCCTACCACCAATATAAGTTTCAAGTTCACATACGTAATCTGATAACGCTCCTATTGAAGTTCCCCAATTGTTGATGGTCAAAACTCCTCCCCTTTCAAGACCCACGTGGATTGCTATTAAATAGCAACAAATTTAATATTGTTGTAGGTCTGCGTCGTCATAGCTGAAGGAGGCTGCACGTTAGGGACAAGACCTCCAACACACTCTACACCTGGGTACACAACTACAGATTCGTCTCCAACTGTAGCACCTTCTACAGTCACAGATGAATCCACACATTTCACTACAGATGGCTCTACAACAGTAACTGCTGAAGTCACTACAGCAGTACCAACTACAATCTCGACTGATGAGTCTACCATAGCACCTACCGAGGGGATTAGTACTACTGATGAGTCTAGCATAGCAACTACTGAGGGCATTAGTACTACTGAACTAATTACAGCAGTGCCAACTACTGAAGGAACTGTCACCACTGAAGTATCTTCCACAATAACAACCCTCGTCCCCTCTACCCCAGAAGTGACATCTACTACAGAAGCGGAGACGACTACACCCTCTATTTGTCCTCCTGGATTCTTCGGGAACATTCCGCACCCGTATCTCTGTAATTCATACTTCATGTGCGTCAACGGAATAGCTATACAGCTCTTCTGCGGCGAAGGATATGAGTTTGATCCTCCTACAGAGGTAATTATATTTATTGACTAAACCGACTTTACAGTTTTGCACTCACCTATCTTTAAGATTAATTTATTGTTTACCTGGTATTTCATTTACCTCAACAAGAAGGCTCAATTCGGTTTGTATTTTGAAGCTTACCTCCTATCTGGTTGGCGGCCAAGATTTGTATTAAGATTTTGGTGCAATAATTGAAATATCGGCACGTTTACAACTAATCATTCGTATATCGTGAAATAGCTCTAAGTGTTTGTTCAAACATTGGCTCACGTGAAAGACAGAATACCACATCTAAATATTAATTAATTGACTAATAATTGACGCGATTATACATGTTGGTCGGATTACCAAAAGTCTTTAGAATAATGTCCTTTCATTAATGAGTAAATCGCTTGATATATTCATATCGAGAGCTGCAATTATTCCGAGGCTTAAATACGACAGACAGCTACCAATTTATTAAGTATTTAATAAGTCATTACGTGTTTACGAACGCCTTAATTTTTTTTCCTACCTAATTGGTAGCCTAAGGGACTATCCAATTTCGCACGAACCGGTAGGTGAGCTCACGGGCTCAAACTGAGAGAATTGCTAGCACTAGCCCTAGCAAGAGCATTGCTTCGCTGAATCTACCACTGGATTGGAATCCCAACCCACTAAGAAGATCCGGGGAGAAACTCAGTGGATTGGAAGTGACCTGCATCACCTGCATGGTGAAGAAACACCTTGGACTAGATACCAATCTTCGACCGGTTTCAAGCCATATTTACATATTATACCATACCACGATGGTAAGGTGCACTAGGCCTGTCTATTATGGCCAGCCGAAGCCCTAGACTCACCAGATCTTCTCAGCAGGTTGCGATTCCGATCCGGTAGTAGACTCATTCACGAAGCAGTTGCTCTTGAGTTATTAGGTCTCCCTTGGAAAAGCTCGGGCAGCTGTTAGCAAATCCCACCCCTGCTGGCTGATCCTTTGCTCGTCCACCTGTCCTGGTGAAACTGGAAAGTTCCTTGGGCCAACAGTAATCCCTCATTAATAAAAAAAGAGTACCCTAGAGGGTTTTTTAGATCACTTGATTCACAGCTAAAGCAATAACATACAACCTTCCTTTCAGAATTGCGTCATAATCGCTGAGGGAGGTTGCACATTGGGTACAACACCCCCGATAGACACCACTCCTTCCTATATAACTACTACGCTTAGCCCTACCGACGGCTCTACCGTAGTGACTACTGAACGAACAACTAACACTGAAGTACCAACTTCAATGACTACGAATGACGCTACTACAATGACTACCGAAGTCACCTCCGCCACTTCTGAGACAACTACTGACATTTCTTCTACTGTCGATAGTGTGGCTACGACCACTGAAGCGGAGACCACAAGGCCACCGATTTGTTCTCCAGGTTTCTTCGGACAAATCCCTCATCCAGAACTCTGTAATTCCTTCTTCATGTGCATGGGAGGGCCACATGCGATACAGCTGTTCTGTTCTGAAGGTTTTGAATTTGATCCAATACAAGAGGTAAATCGATATATTTACTTAATAGGAATTACATTACCTACACTATGAAACTTACTACTGGTGGTAGGACCTCTTGAGAGTCTGCGCCGGTAGGTACCACCACCCTGCCTATTTCTGACGTTAAGCAGAAATACGTTTCGGTTTGAAAGGTGGGGCATCCGTTGTAACTATACCTGAGACCTTAGAACTTATGTCTCAAGGTGGGTGGCTCATTTGCGTCGTAGATGTCTATGGGCTCCAGTCACCACTTAACATCAGGCGGGCTGTGAGCTGGTCCACCCATCTAAGCAATAAAAAAAAAACCGTAAGACAATCAAAAGAGAAGTCGACCTCTTCAATCTCTTTACACTGTAGTGTATGTATGGCAGTAATAAAACTTATGTTGACCTCATTCCTAATCAACTTTCTTTGGCGTTTGAAAATGGCCTTTATAAAAATACTAGCTTTTGCTCGCGACTTCGTCCGCGTGGAATAGTTCACAGATAATGCTTTATTTTAGAACAAATTCGGTTAACATAAAAAACCAGTGTTACCGCCATACATACACTACAACAGATACAGCAGATAAATGGAAATTTAAATACAATTCTCAGATTGCCATAATTAATTTCAGACATGCGTCATCATAGCCGAAGGAGGATGTACCCTCGGACCAGTTCCAAATCCTACCACCACTCAAAGTCCTAACACAGCCACTACTGAAACGCCTACACATACTGAAAGTAGCACAACTACTGCGGCTACCACGCAATTTTACTCCACAACAGAAGACGATAAATCCACCACAGAGCTTACTGCCACAACTGCGGATGATGCAACTTCTGAAGCTACTTCTGAATCGACTACTTCGACTAGTCTAGAAACAGAAGCTACAACTGTTGCAGCCACTGATGCTCCCAGTACTGGTACAACCGTAGCAGCGACTACTGAAGTTGTCGAGACAACCACAGCCGGGTCGGGGACGACAGTACCGGCGATCTGTCCGCCCGGTTTCTTTGGATACGTACCGCACCCGGAGATGTGCGACTCGTATTTCCTGTGCACGTTTGGAACTGCCGTGCAACTGTTCTGTTTGGAGGGCTACGAGTTCGACCCCGCGTCCGAGGTAATAATGCACCCAAATTGTATCAAATAAAGATCATTTTAGTGGGCCCCACGAAATCTGCTTTGCTGCACACGACTGGTCACTGTGACGAACATTTTTGAAGTGAAACTACTTTACTATCGTTGTGATTTCAAACTCGATGAAACGAAAAACTAAGTCCATAGAGACACAAACACATAAATGTATAGGATTCAGCCGGCGAGAGAATGAGATAGGACACATTAGTGTTTTTTTTAATACAGCGCCATCTATGAGATTTTTAAATACTAACCTCTGCGTGTATAAAACCTCTTGTTGTGAATTTTAATTTAGGATTATACGTGAAGTTAAAATATAAATTCACAGAGGGCGCCACCTCATACTATAAAAGATGATTTACAAGTATTTACTAATGACAAAATTTTACATAATATACTTAGATATTTAGGATAATTGTATTTAAAATTTTGAAGGTTTCACTTCTACCACGTGTGAATTGCACACATGTTTTTTTTTAAGCGAGGGATTACTGTTGGCCCTGAGGTCTCTCCAGTTTTACCAGGACAGGTGAGCGAGCAAAAGTTCAGCCAGAAGGCGTGGGATTTTCTAACAGCTGCCCAAGCCTCTCCAAAGGAGATCTGATAACTCAAGGGCAGCTGCTTGACTAACCTTTGGGAGGCCTATATCCATTAATGGACGTCGATGATGACATATCACATTTGCTTTTTAATTATCTTTGCAGCAATGCGTGGTCATAGCTGAGGGAGGATGTACTCTTGGTGGCACTTCAAAACCACCAGCGCTACCAACGGACCCAGCATCAACCGAAACGACAACAACTGACATAACTACTACACCAACACCTTCTATAACTACTGAAGATGGTGATGCTACTACTTCAGAAGCCCCTATTGCTACTGATATAGTATCCACATCAACTGAACATACCGATTCGACTCCTACCACCGTTACAACAACGGAAATACCAACCCCGAATCCTACAACAGCATCAGATGAAACAGCCTCTACTGCTGAAGTGACGACTGACGAAGCTTCAACTGATAAGCCCATTAGTACAACTTCGATTTCGACTGAAGATGGAACCGCGAGTTCGGAAACCAGCGCTGCAACTTCGGTAACAAGTGGCGATTACGAAACTTCGACTGCAACTGTCGAAACTACCACTCAGTCGATGTGTCCGCCCGGCTTCGTCGGTACTTTACCGCACCCGGATATATGTTACAGCTATTTCTTGTGTGTTTCCGGACAACCGGTTCAGCTCTTCTGTTTGGAGGGATACGAATACGACCCGATTTCGATGGTGAGTTTAAAAGAACATCGTTATGGATTAAATTTTCATAATTTATTCAATTTAGACTAACCAGATCAAGCAAAACATACGCTACAAAGATTAACCTTCACAGGGATGTGTGATCATCGCTGAAGGTGGTTGCACCTTGGGCCCGGCAACCAGCCCGACAGAGGTGACAGACGATGGTTCCAGCACTGAACAAACATTCACGACAACTGAACGCACAACCAGTCACACTACGACGACTGATGACACTGCCACACCAGAAGCCAGTACCACAACTGATGTTACTTCGCCAACGATGGAACAGACGGACGCCACCACACATGCACCAACCGAAACTGGTGCTACAGACGCTGCAACCGATGCTCCAACCACAGCATTAACTTCTGAGGAAACGGATTTAACCACAGAAGCGACTGCAGCCGAAACTTCTGCAACGACTTCTGCTCCGCCCGCCATGTGCCCGCCGGACTTCTTCGGCAACATACCGCACCCGGAGCTGTGCAATTCGTTCTTCATGTGCGCTGCTGGGAACGCGATCCAACTGTTCTGCGGCGAAGGACATGAATTTGATCCGGCACTAGATGTAAGTACTGAGTACAATGCGACTAGCCTCCTAGACTAGATTCCTCCAGGAACGAGACTCTCTTGATGGGTAGGATGATGGGAATAAGTCTACTTATTTTTCAACGCTTACATTTACTTTATTAATAGCTTGGTATTCATCTATATATATAAAAATGAATTGCTGTTCGTTAGTCTCGCTAAAACTCGCGAACGGCTGGACCGATTTGGCTAATGTTGGTCTTGAATTATTTGTGAAAGTCCAGAGAAGGTTTAAAAGGTAGATAAACATGAAAGTGCTCGGAATTAAATAAAAATAATAATTTTGTTTTTCCTTTGATGTGTCCTCCGTCGGACGGATTCTTTTTGTTTGTTTTAAATTTATTTTATACAAAACTAGGTCTTTTATTTATCGATTGAGGCACTACGAAGTCTGCCGGGTCAGCTAGTATAAAATAATTATCATTTCCTTTCAGACTTGCGTGGTGATAGCTGAAGGAGGTTGCACTCTAGGACCAGCCACGTCTCCTACAACTTACCTTCCTACTGTCACACCGACGACCACAGATCCTCCAGCAGAAACCCAAACAACAGAACCCATACCGACAACAAACTACCCATCTACTTCTGAAACCCAAGAATCAACAGTCATCGCTTCTACCACAGTCGGTTCCAACACCGACTCGACTTCAATAACCGATGGCCAAACAGACTCACAGACCACAGAGTCTGGTTCGAATACAGAGTCGCAACCGACGACTTCTGGAGTTACATCGACAACCGAAGCGTCAACAACCACGGTTGCCATGGAAATCGAACCACCGGCTCTGTGCCCACCGGATTTCTTCGGAACTAAACCCCATCCGGTTATTTGCTACTCTTTCTACATGTGCACGGCCGGCACCGCCCTCCAGCTCTTCTGCAGCGAAGGCTACGAGTACTCCACCCAAGTAGAGGTGAGTATCAATACGAAGTAATTGATCATCCAGGTCATAACTGTACCTATCTCTGTTAACTCTTCGATAGGTTGGATTGAAATCCTCAAAGCCCTTTTCTAACGCAAAAAGCTTTCGTTCTGGTCTGGTGTACGAATTCAATAGTGGTTTTTTTTTATTGCTTAAATGGGTGGACGAGCTTGTCTGGTGTTAAGTGGTTACTGGAGCCCACAGACACGTGGGTGCTCGCAAGACGCCTTACCACCAGAACAGATTTTATTCCTTCATCATTAGTGATCATGTTAAGTTCGTATTTCATTAGAAAAATTGGTACCCGCCTGCGGGATTCGAACACCGGTGCATCGCTACATACGAATGCACCGGACGTTTATCCTTTAGGCCACTTAGGCCATTCTTAGGCCACGTAGGCATTTTGACAGGTAGGGTTGTATTAAACTGAGACTTACAACTCATATCTGAAGGTGGGTGCATTTACGTTGTAGATGTCTATGGGCTCCAGTAACTACTTAACACCAGGTGGGCTGTGAGCTCGTCCACCCAACTAAGTAATAACAAAGATAAAATATGTCTTTTCAATTAGATTTGAAGCAATTTTAATTAATGTTCGTCCTTACAGACGTGCGTAAGAATAGCACCTGGTGGTTGCACGTTGGGACCGATAGTTGAGACTACGACAAACGCGGCGACCAGCACTACTTCAGAAACCGACGCTTCGAATTCACCAACAACTTCGGTTCCCGCAACCGAAGCGGACACAACCACCGCGCAACCTACCACCGATGAAACCACTTCTCGGACTTCAGAGGCTGCTACGTCTACTGAAGCGTCTGCGGCCACAGAAGCGCCGCCAATCTGTCCGCCTGGCTTCGTGGGTACCCTGCCGCATCCGGACCTCTGCAATTCTTTCATCATGTGCGCTGGCGGTGTCCCCTTGCAGTTGTTCTGTAGTGAAGGGTTCGAATATGACCCCGCCGCTGAGGTAAGTTAATTTTTTTATTACTTAGATATGTGGACTAGCTCACAGCCCACCTGGTGTTAAGTGGCTACTGGAGCCCATAGACATCTACAACGTAAATGCGCCACACACCTTGAGATATAAGTTCTAAGGTCTCAAGTATAGTTACGACGGCTGCCTCACCCTTCAAACCGAAACGCATCACTGCTTCACGGCAGAAATAGGCAGGGCGGTGGTACCTACCCACGCAAACTCACAAGAGGTCCTACCATAATTTGGGATGACACATTTCTGATCTACTTGATTTGGTGTTTGGCAGCAAAATAGAATGATGGCGACGGCCTTAAGATTAGATCGAAAACTCAACAGGAAATGCCCTAAAAAGCCCAAAATAGAAAGATGTTTTAGGTAATTCAATTCTAATAAAAAAAACATACCTTATTTTATAAATATTATATGTATGTAAAGTTTATAATATTGGATAAAAATGAATAAGAGACTCCTCGAGGGGTCTAGAACAAGGTATCTATTGAGGGAAGGCCGTTTGATTTATGCGCAATTTTTGCAACTTTACAGGAAAGCCATTAAAGTTTAAAATTTGGCAAAAAATATCATAACTAAAATGGAAACTTCTTCAGCTATTTGAATGGAGTAAAATCAATTGAAGTTCAATTAGAAACATCGAACTTTTGTTTGCTGATACCAAATAAAACGCATCTTTAATTACCAAAGATAAATGTCTTGTATGAAGCGAAATGTGCCTTAAGCCATATAGCCATTCATCCCGATCATAGGATATAGTGTATGGAACATATAAGAACTGTTCTTAAGATCGACACTTTTATCTTAAATTCTTTTTACCAGACCTGCGCGAAAATATCCGAAGGAGGATGTACTCTAGGACAGAGCACAACACCTGCCACAGACACGACGTCCCAACACACAACCGCGGACACACAGACAACTTCAGATATCACCAGTCCGACCACGGAGTCCCCTTCTCATGATATCACCACTGAAACTATAACAGGCACCACTAATATTGATGATGACGGCTCAACCACTGAAGCTGGTACAGATACCACCCATAACGATGGTACAACTTCCGATGGTATCACAACAGAAGCTACCGGTGCCACGATTTTCGAACCTACCACTTCGGCTAGTTTCACAACAGAAACTACGGGTTCTGATACAACGGATTCGTCTGCAACTACAGAAGTAGCTGCTACGACTATAGATTCAATTAGTGATGGGACATCAACTACTGAAGCTGTCACAACTACAACAGTTAGGGTTGAGACCACCACGCCGTCGTTGTGTCCGCCCAACTGGCTTGGGAATCTGCCGCATCCGGATCGGTGCGATGGGTTCATCATGTGCGTGAATGGAATCGCATTACCACTGTTCTGCAGCTCAGGGTTCGAATACGACCCTCCTTCTGATGTAAGTGTTACATAAACCCTTAATATTTATTTATTTACTAGCTGACCCGGCAGACATCGTAGTGCCTCAATCGAAAAACAAAAGACCTAAACTTTTGTATAAAATAAATTTAAAACAAACAAAAGGAATCCGTCCGACGGGGGACACATCAAAGGAAGAACAACTTTGCAATTTAAAAAAAAAAAAAGTTTATAATTAACAAATAAAAAATAGGGGTTGATCGTAGGGGGGTGAAAAATTCAGAGTAATATGATTTTTTTAATTCTAAGTCATGACAAAATAAAAACAAAATTCTTGCAAAAAAAATTTAAGTTTTTAATTAACAAATAAAAAATAAGGGTTGATCGTAGAAGGGTGAAAATTTAGGGTTGTATGTATTTTTGTATGCTGTATTATAAAAAAATAAAAACAAAAAAAATTGTCTAAAAAATAAATTTAGGCGTGGACCACCCTTAATGTTAAATATGAAGGGTGGTCCACGCCTAAATTTTTTTTTTCTCGTTTCTCCACCCTGGCCGATATGCACGTTAAGATTCACGAAAATCGGTTGAGCCGTTTCGGAGAAGCTCAATCACGCACACCGTGACACGAGAATTTTATATATTAGATTTATTTATTATGTTGCACCAACAAAGTGATCAACAATACAAAACATTGACAAACTGACAAAAGTTCATAGCAGATGTCACCTCAATTACTTATAGGTGCAATCGACAGTGTATTATACAGAAAACAATGTGTAAAAACTAAAGGAAATATTATATCTTTACTATTTTAATGTTATTGTTCGCAGTCGTGCGTGAAGATAGCCGAAGGTGGCTGTACTTTAGGACCAATCACAACCACTGTGCAATCAGATACAACTGCAAGTCCTTCAGAAGAAATAACAATTCCTGATAGTATCTCTACCACTACCGTAGAAGCCGCTGCTACGACTCCAACATCAGACCCAGCTGATTCTACTACAGAAGCAGCCGACTCAACTACCGATTCCGCGGTCACTACCGAACCAGTAACGTCTGGTAGTACAGGAATTTATGAAGCAACAACTTCTGACGGCAACAGACCGACCAGAGACTCTTCTGATGAAGCAACCACTGACATTGAAACTACAGAAGCAGGCACACAGCCAACTGAAACTGCGACTTCAGAAGTAACGAGCACGACTTCTGGAAACTTCGAGACAACCCCACGCTCGATCTGTCCCCCGGGCTGGGTGGGCAATGTGCCCGCTCCGGACCGGTGCGACGCCTTCTATATGTGCACCAGCGGGATCGCCATCCGGCTGTACTGTAGTGAGGGATACGAGTTCGACCCAGCTTCAGACGTGAGTTTTATATATAATAATATAATAGGTGGAGATATAGATCAGCTTCGCCTTGACGTGAGATCTCGGGGCTCAAACCGGAGTGTTGCTAACACTGGCCCTAGCAAGAGCAGTGCTTCGCAGAATCTACCACCGGATCGGAAACGCGACCCACTGAGTTGATCCGGCGAGAAACTCAGTGGGCTGTGTGTGTCTATGGGTTAATTCGCTCGTCGAGCCCTTCGTTGCAAGCGACGGGTTCGACGAGGACGGTGACCGGTGCTTGTGGTAGACAGAGTCTTTCAACACGCTTTTATTGCCGCGTCATGTATCCGTACCTCTAAGTATCTTCGAACGCTTACTGGTGGTAGAACCTCTTGTGAGCCCGCACGGGTTGGTACCACCACCTCGTCTATTTCTGCCGTGAAGCAGTGCTGCCGTTTCGGGGTTTGAGGGGCGGGGCAGCAGTTGTAACTATATTGAGACCTTAGAACTTATATCTCAAGATGGGTGGCGCATTTACGTTGTAGATGTATATGGGCTCCAGTAACTACTTAAGACCAGGTGGGCTGTGAGATCATCCACCCATATAAGCAATAAAACATAAAAAAAACGTCCTCTACTGGACATACAACTCCTCAAAGGCTTGCCATAGTGGTCGGTCCTATACAGCCCTCATCTAACAGGTCTCCGCGACTTTTAAAAGGTCCAACTCCTGATATAAATAAATTAAAATGTCCAAATTGGTTCACTCATCTATAATCCTATCATGCACCTCAAATGGTCATGATGTAAATAAATTTATGCTTCCCCTCAACAGAACTGCGTCCGAATAACCGAGGGCGGCTGCACGTTAGGACCAACTACAACCAAACTCCCCGACCTGACAACTCCAGACACCGCACAAACGACTGTCGACACTAAAACAACTGAACAAAGTCCAGAATCGACCACTGTCTCTAAAGCGACCACTCAAGCTAATGATGAAGAATCAAGGCCAAGTCAAACCGGACACACAACAACAAATACGGGAGCTACTTCTGAAACAACAACTTCTGGTGAAGCCGTCACTTCCGAAACAACACATGCCACTACCTCGGAAGGGGCAGAGGCGACTGGGACCACACAGCGCGAGGAGACCACGACGCCGGCCATCTGTCCGCCAGGGTTCATAGGGAACGTGGCCAGTATTGAGGACTGCAACAAGTTCTACATGTGCACCCTCGGCATCGCCATCCCGCTGTACTGCAGCCAGGGATACGAGTTTAGCCCTGGACTCGATGTAAGTCTCCAAGCACTCCATTAGCCCCTGGATAATGCTAGGGCCAAGACGTATTCTATTATTCCATTCTAAGGGAGCTAAATATCCGAAAAAGGCTCTCTTCCGTCCGCCGGGAACGTGTTATGAGCTTCTACGGACACATTTTTTACTGTTGGTAGGACCTCTTGTGAGTCCGCGCGGGTAGGTACCACCATCCTGCCTATTTCTGCCGTGACGTAATGCGTTTCGGTTTGAAGGACGGAGTAGCCGTTGTACTGTTAAAACCGAGACTTAGAACTCATGTCTCAAGGTGGACGGCGGCATTTAGGTTATTGACGTCTGTGAGCTCCGATGACAATTTAACCACTCAAATATGCAACGCACAAGCGCTTTTCTGCCTCAAGCTTTTTAGTAATCATAGCTTCTCTATCGTTAGTCCGTACTAAAAGCTACTCCAGACCTACTAATATATCCACAAAGCAATCCTGCGTCCTAGATTGAATAGCAGTAGACACGTTACTATAAAATAATAAGATTATGGTCTCAACGGCAGGCAGCCATTTAGCTGTGTCCCTGGCGTCATTGACTTCCATGGCCGATACGGTAATCACTCCTCATCAATGCTCATCTATCCACCGTAGACTTAGAAGAAAAATCTCATACTGTGGGCGACAATTTCCATGTTGGGAGGACTACCCTCCCCGATAATAAGTTAAATTTAATCAAACAAAAGCCAATGAACAACGACCGGTTATTGCAAGTGTTCGCAATTTCACTATCATCCATAATTGTTTCAATTTGAATACGATCTCTCCAAATTTGCGCCACTGAAGCCGGTTTTTGGTTCTCTCCATCATTTTTTGACCGCCACCCCTCGCAAAGACATCGCCCCACTTGACCTGGGGGCGTCCCTCATTATATTTTTTCCACGGACAGATTTATAGCCGAATTTCAGCGCCATCATACTGAAGCTTTATTATTTATCAAACGGATAAGTTAGGACGTTAATAATATGAGCCTTTGTCTAACAGACCTGCGTCCGAATAGCCGAGGGCGGTTGCACGTTAGGACCAACTACAACCAAACTGCCCGACCTCACAACTTCAGACACCGCACAAACGACTGTCGACGCTAAAACAACCGAACAGAGTCCAGAATCGACCACTGTCTCTCAAGTGACCACCTCGGAAGGAACAGAGGCGACTTGGACCACACAGCGCGAGGAGACCACGACGCCGGCCATCTGTCCGCCTGGGTTCATAGGGAACGTGGCCAGTGCTGAGGACTGCAACAAGTTCTACATGTGCACCCTCGGCATCGCCATCCCGCTGTACTGCGGCCAGGGATACGAGTACAGCCCTGGACTCGATGTAAGTCTCCAAGCACTCCATTAGCCACTGGATAATGCTAGGGCCAAGACGTATTGTAGACCAGCGCGGCCAGGTACCGGCGTCTTGGCCATTTCTGCCACCACGCCTATGTCGTTTTCTAAAATAATTACGAACACTTCTAATTATCGACACGAGACTATTTAGATTCTTAAAAGCTTTACAATTTGATCAACAATCAAAGACATGGCCAAAGACAGTACCAGAATAGAACCAAAACTAAGGTCTAAGGTATCTTAAGGTATGGCGCCTATTTTGATTTGGGGGACCGTCTTTATTACTGGTGGTAGGACCTCTTGTGAGTCCGCACGGGTAGGTACCACCGCCCTGCCTATTTCTGCCGTGAAGCAGTAATGCGTTTCGGTTTGAAGGGTGGGGCAGCCGTTGTAACTATACATGAGACCTTAGAACTTATATCTCATAGTGGGTGGCGCATTTACGTCGTAGATGTCTATGGGCTCCAGTAATCACTTAACACCAGGTCCACCCCTCTAAGCAATAAAAAAATTACTAATAATATAGGGCTATCTTAGTTACTGAAGCGAAGTCACACATTCGTTCGTTTTCACATCCAGACTTGCGTACCCGTGTCTGTGGGAGGCTGCAGCTTGGGACCGACCGCCAGAGCCCACGCGTCCGACCCGCCTTCTGAGACAGGGTCGGCTGCAGTGGTCCCCATCGGGGGGTCAGCGCCGATGCCGACCTGTCCCCCCGGATTTTCGGGGAACTTGCCGAGTCCCAGTCGCTGCAATGAGTTTTTCTTTTGCACCAACGGCGTAGCGGTGCCGCTGCTCTGCGAGACGGACCACGAGTTTGACCCCGTGACTGATGTAAGTATGGCGCGCGTGTAAGTATGGTGGTACCCTGGTGTGCTCTGAGGAATTGTTTGAGATGATCCCCTCATCTGCTTTTTATCATCGCACCCCCCACCATCGGAGCAGAGTTCATCCATATCATCTGGAATCGCTGCGTTCATCGACAGTGCGTTTCCAGAGGTCTTTTTTGTTACGTACCATCCGGCTTTGGAATGAGCTCCCCTCCACGGTGCTCCCCGAGCGCTATGACATGTTCTTCTTCAAACGAGGCTTGCGGAGAGTATTAAGCGGTAGGCAACGGCTTGGCTCTGCCCCTGGCATTGCTGAAGTCCATGGGCGACGGTAACCACTCACCATCAGGTGGGCCGTATGCTCGTCTGTCTACATGGAAAAAAAAAGAGCAAAAAATGTTTATGGGCGTCGGCCACTAGATGGCTTCGCTTCGATCAGTTTCTCATTGCTCCTGTAGATGGCAGTAACATATTACATATATTTTATTTTTAATGAAGGATTTTGTAAATTATCAGAAACCACAAATTGATAAAATTTAATCAATTTGTCTATAACAAACAAAGATTTGTATGATTTATGTTTTTTTTTTTTATTTTCTGTGTTTAGTTATACCATAATTAAATGCCTTAACATTAACAACATATAAGTTTAAGCAATAAAACAAAAACAAAAAAACAGGGCACTGACATTAATGACAGCGCGTGGTTTGTTTCAGAAATGCGTGCAAATGGCCGCCAATGGATGCAACGCCAAACGAACTAAGGCTATGCTAAACTGAACTATGGCTGTGAAACTGTTACAATAATATAATCAATACACTTTAAGGCAATAAAACAATAATTACTTGTACACGCGTGAATATTCACCACTGTGAAAATGTATATAAAATATGTTGGCATGATATAAAGTTGTTGAAAAAAACGAATTAAAATAATTGATTTGTTAAAAGTAAAACAACCGATCTTAGAAATTATAAAGACCTTCTTCCGCTCAACTTGTACATAAATAAATCGCGATACGACATTTAAGTTACAAATTTCCTATTATTTATGTTGTAGATATAATTATAGTTTATAAAGTAACACAGATAGTTGTTAGTTTTATTATTTATGATTTTGTTAATATTTTGAAAGTATTGAATTCATAATTGACTTATAAAGTCCTATTTTGGTAACATTTTATTTGTTTAACAGAGCTACACCAACTGTTACTGGCAAAGAATATGCATAGTAATTATTGTTTTGTTGTCTTAAAAGTTGCATGTTTATTAAATTATTCACAAATGAGATTATTAGATCTTTAAATGTTTGCTCAAAATTTATTTAAACGCCATCTAGTGGCCAGAGTAGAAACTTGTAAAAAATTTTTTCGTTATTCAAGTAATATTGTGATAAAAACCTCTATTTATTAATGCAATTTTTCGATCTGAATTTACATCAAACCCGAGGCCACTTGAAAAGTTCTATATTGTACATAATGTGTAATAATAACTTATATTTTGCATGTATTTTTGGATTATATTTTTTAAAAGTTTGTAAATTTTTGAACAAAACGTACCAAATAATTACATTGTTGTTGTATTTTATAATTTGTTTTATTTCATTAACCTATTGTCCATTTTCTTTCATAAAACTAAAGAGGACTTATATTGCAATTACATGTTTTTTGAAAGATACTATTAAAAGAGAATTTTTAGAGAAAACCAATTTTATACGTCATCTAGCGTCGAGTAGTAAAACTAATTCAGAATGTACATTAAGTATTCAAAAGTTGTCATAGATGGCGTGCATTTTTATTTGGTTTAATAATTTATATACCAGTAAGCTGCTAATCTAAATTAAATGCAAATTTATTAAAAATCAGAAACAAAACGCCGAGTGCTAAAATTTGTACACAAACAAAAAAAAGGCCAAAAGTGTTTGGATAGCGTTTTAATGGAACCTAAATCGTGAAACCTTATAATTGTTTCATTGTTTAGTATCAGCAATAAAGGCTTACAAAAAAAATATCGTGAAACCGACCTGTTCTATCTATACTTTTTTTATGTTTGATAAGTTACTGGTGGCCCGGAGGCATTTGCAGTTTTACCAGGACAGGTGCGCGAGCAAAGGCTCAGCCGGAAGGTGTGGGATTTACTAACAGCTGCCCGAGCGCCTCCGAAGGAGACCTAACAATTCCAGAGCAGCTGTTTCGCGAATGAATCTACCACCGGATCGAAATCGCGACCCGCTGAGAAGATCCGACGAGAAGCTCAGCGGACTGATGTTTAGGTTAGGTTGCACGTCGACCTCTTTGTCGAGTTCGACGAGTACGGTTACCGGGATCCCTACTCCTAGTGGTAGAGACCTCGCACTACCTTGCACAATAATATGGCTCCTACGATATAACTGTATAAGTTGTTACTTATTTTGTATTTACTTTCATATTTTTAGTATTTAATCGTATGTAAGTCTATCTTATATTGTATGTATTTTTTTATAGAGCCCTTTATTCGGAAAACAGATATACAATTAAGTTTCTTATATTACTGCATATATGTATACTGATATATGTATAAATATGTATTTTAGAAAATTAAAATTGGTGTATCTGGTGCTTGTTTACTCTCTGTAAGTCCGTTTGCCAGTTGGCAAAGGCCTCCTCTAACCTACTCCATTCTGATCTCTCTCTGGCTACTCTACTCCATGTTATGCCCGCAACCTGCCTGATATCATCGTCCCATCTTTTTTGTTGCCTGCCTCTTTTCCTCTTGCCTTCCCTTGGGTACCAATGTGTAGTTATTTTGCTCCATTTTTCTTTNTCCTACCTCCTTCACTTAATCCGGAATAGCTCCTTAACTACTGGCTCGATTTGAATGAATTTGGTATCAGTTTAAAGTTAAGAGTTCAACCTTTAAAATGATCTCATTTTTATGATTATCAAAAAAATATTTAGTACACAAGATCGCGCGGAATCAATTTCAAGTAAGTGATTCCAAACTTTTGCTCGCGAGTGTATTTTATATTTATTTATTTTTGACAGTATGTGTATATAAGTTTATTAAGATATAGCACCGTCGATGCTAGTTTGCTTATTCCTCTCCCTGAAAGTTTGCCTGGAAGAGGTCGCTTTCAGCGATAAGGCCGCCAATTTATATCTTCGTCTATTATTTGTTTTATATACTTACTCTGTACATGTGGTGTTAAATAAAGAGTTATATTATTATTATTAGAGCTGAAGGTGTCTAATGCAAGGGTAATTGGATCTGATGGATCCGTAAGGACGTGTCTGTCTATACGAGGATTCTTCAGACATCTATTTGAAATTTTCGTTAGCAACAATCCTTTTCGGATAGGTACCTACACTTACGATTCAATATTGCAGTAAGAGAAACTTATTCGTATGGAAATGCAAGTTCGGTTGAAAGCTCAGCTGTAATAAAAGTAGCTTTTGTACTCGACAACTGAACAGAACGAGAGACGAATGAAAGAAAACGCACATCTAAATCTGCATGTTTTAATCCTAAATTATTACTGGGCTGTGTAATGTATGGAGGTGATACAAGCAACTTCACACAAAAAAAAATCGTGTAGACTTCATCGAAAAATAGACAGAGCACCTTATCTTTTTTTTATTGCTTAGATGGGTGCACGAGGTCACAGCCCACCGGGTGTTAAGTGGTTACTGGAGCCCATAGACATCTACAACGTAAATGCGCCACCCACCTTGAGATATAAGTTCTAAGGTCTCAGTATAGTTACAACGGCTGCCCCGCCCTTCAAACCGAAACGCTTTACTGCTTCACGACAGAAATAGGCGGGGTGGTGGTACCTACCACCCGTGCGGACTTACAAAAGCTAACTTAAATTTGTATGGAGTTGAAAGTTTGCCTGCGTTTGCCGCTAGGGGCGCTGTTCCAACTGCATACAGATTTGAGTTAACTTTTACGCTATCGAGAACGTTAAAATACTCGCACTAAGCACACTGAGCTCACTGAGTTTCTCGCCGGATCTTCTCAGTGGGTCGCGATTCCGCTCCGAATGTAGATTCTGCGGAGCACTGATCTTGCTAGGCTTAGTGTTAACAATTTCTCTCAGGTTGAGCCCGTGAGCACAGTAGCCCCTTACGCTACTAGCGAATAGTTAGGAAAAAAAGACTATTTAATGGTACATACTGGTATTTACTGGTGGTAGGACCGCTTGTGAGTCCGCGCGGGTAGGTACCACCGCCCTACCTATTTCTGCCGTGAAGCAGTAATGCGTTTCGGTTTGAAGGGTGGGGCAGCCGTTGTAACTATATTGAGATCTTAGAACTTATATCTCAAGGTGGGTGGCGCATTTACATTGCAGATGTCCATGGGCTTCAGTAACCACTTAACATCAGGTAGGCTGTGAGCTCGTCCACCCATCTAAGCTATAAAAAAAAAAACATAATCTCTGTAATAGACGAAATTGAAAAAATAATATGAAATTGTAGAAAAATATAGTCAGTGGCGTAACCCGACTTAGTTGTAACACAAAATATTCTAGAAAACAATCTCGCTTATTAAGGTGATAACGTTATGATGTCCATGGGCACCAATAACGACGTAATTGTGACTCGAATTTTAAACTATTCTCTTTATAGCTTCAAAAACGATGTGTCAATGTTTTCTGGAAAAAAAATTTTTTATTATACGGACAGAATAAAGTCTTAAGCCTTCGTCAAACAGAACGCGTACTTAGCACTGCGTACTTAACGTCGCGCTCTTTTCATGTCACACCAATTGACTAGATGAGTCTAACGCTCCTTGACACAACGCATTCGCCAAATCATAGTGCCTTTCGATAGCAGTGTGAAAATTTAAAAGTATTAAGAAATCGAGTGATTCAGATGTGGCATTGTATAAGCATGGGTATTTTCTAATTATTTATATCATTTTTTCGGGCATTATCTAGTATTTTAATACAATTAAAATTTGGAAAAAATTACAACGCCTGACGTCAAAGCGTCCTAACGCCGCGACATAGCGCTGCGTACTTATAGCGCTGGGCCTCTGTTTGACGGTATGTTGCCATAATAGTACAACACATCTCGGCGTCATAGCGCGGCGTCCGTTTAGCGCTCTGAGGCGCGCTAATTACGCGTTCTGTTTGACGAAGGCTTTAAAGAAGATTAATTTTTTTTTCATATCGGATTTTAATATTCTTCTAAAACATATAAAATGAGTGCGAAAATAAATCACCGTGTTTTTAATGCTCGTTTGAAACATCCATTTTGGTACGTATCAGCTCTGTAGACATGTAATAAGTACCGACGAACGATTCTTGCTACTTGGCAGTCAGTTCGCAATAAGTCTGGATTTGTAAGAGACTAACACTGCTGCTGACAATGTTTGAATTTCAGACTTTTTCCAAAATTACTGCAAATATATTAAAAATACGTTTTCATTAGATTCAGCAACGTTTTTTGGAACGAAGGTCCTTAAGGGACGATGGGGAGGGGTACCCTAAAAAACGTCCGTAACGTAAGATTTTTATTAGTTATGCACACAGTGTACGACTTAACTTTGTAATAACGTACAAAAAATAACATATTTTTTTATCATTAATTGACCAAGATCTCAGAGCGTTCGTTTGCGCAATACACTAACTCTTATGCAAACAACCGTGAATGAAGTGTACCACAATAAGTTCGCACGTTACCGAATGACCGTGGGTTATTTTCTTTATGCCTCGAATAGAACTTAAAATTAATATTTTTATAATAAGGAACTTGGTTCCTATCCGGTGTCCCACGACACCACACATTTTTTTTTGT